CAAAACACCACAACGTACTTAATGGCCACAGCTACACAAGAATATACAAAACACCACAACGTACTTAATGGCCACAGTTACACAAGAATATACCAAACACCACAACGTACTTGATGGCCAGGCACGTTCCGTTGACAGTCCACAATCGAATCTGCGACCGAGAGCAGGTGACTATATTGCCTGTCTGGTTGTTGATGGCAATGGCTGTGATGGTATCGGGATGGCCCCGTAACTGTCTGATGTAATCCATCTGATTGAGATCCCATACTATGCATGTCTTGTCTCCAGATCCTGAGACTATAATCTGAGGGGTAAGGTTGAGGAAAGGGGAGGGGCATGAGAGGATATGACCATACATACATATATATATATATATACACACATACATCCATACGTATATACATCACACACACACACTTAAAGAATGTGTCATGTGTACATACGCTATATGGTCTGGACGCAGCTATAGCCGTGATACGCTTTGTGTGGCCGTGGAGTATCTGCAGGATCTTTGGAGCTACATCCACACCTGTACGCGACCCATTGACTGTTTTCTGATCAGCAAACTGCCACACACTGACGCAGCTGTCCTCTCCTCCGGTGATAAGTACCTGAGACGGGGTATACGAATAGGTGAGCATAGGCTATATGTAGTTGTAGGTGAATACGAATAGGTTTATGCTTAGGCTATATGTAGTGGTAGGCGAATACTATATTTATATATATATATATAGGAATGTATACACATACATATATGCATATATATATATGAATACCTGCTCATCCGCAAAGGTGACTGCGCTGAGACAGCCCACGTGCATGTTCTCGCATGCGCCCATAGTCTTGCCGTTGTCAATGCGCATGAGGCGGAGTGAGTTGTCTCCATACTCCCACGAGAGGTAGCGGTTGGTCCCTTTATAGACAGCCAGCTGTTGTTGGCCCAAGGCTACTACCCCCTTGTCACTAACGATTATGTCACCCACTCCGCCATTGCAGGTGATTGCACCTGTTTGTGTGGGGGAATGGGATGTAATAGGATGGAAATGGGTGAGATCACAGATACGAATAAATATGCTTATATAATATAATATAATAATATAATAATATATATATATATAAATCCAAAAACACAACCCTTTAAACCCCAATCCTAAAACCCTGAACACTTATAAAACCATATACAAACGTCTACCCACCCGCACCAGTCCTCCCCACTTTGACCGTAGCTACAATAGACCGCTTGAGTTGCTCAGGAAAGTACACCAGCGTGCGTGGCATTGCGCTCGTGGGCTCTCCAGCGTTTGCGGTTTGCGGGCTGCTAACCGCAAGAGTACTCTTGCGGCTCGGGTGAGGTTTTTTGAAGACCTGGCGTGGGGTTTGGCCAAAGTTGTTGATGATACCTATCACCGCCTGTCGCAGGACTGGGTCAGTGATCTGATCTATGTCCACAGCCCCTTCGTACGAGAGATGGTGGAAGACGTTCATGGCCTTCAGTGCTTCCTCGCCTGTTTGGCGATAGCTTGTATAGAAATGGAGGCAGGTGTAGCGTTAATATATATATATATATACACATATACATATATATATAAGTATACATACATATACATATACATATACATGTACATATACATATACATATACATATACATATACATATACATATACATATACATATACATATACATATACATATACATATACATATACATATACATATACATATACATATACATATACATATATAAAATAAGGCATATATAAATGTAGTACGGCTCGGTTGACATGCCGTCCTAACCATAAGGCCACATCAGCAGCATAGCAGCACACAACTACACTCCAAGCAACATACGCATTTGCGTACAGCTCATACCCAAAGACAAGGTCAATCCATTGATGGAGGTTAGCAGACACATAGGGACTCTCCAGTGCCTCTCGGTGCACGCGGATGAACTCGTGTACATCTCCTTTGGCCCATGCGGGTAGTGTGACATCGTCAAGGGTCTCGCCCGTCTGCCGCTTACCAAGTCTGTGGGTAGCGTGCAGTGGAGGGAATAGGGTTTTAGGGTATAGGGTTTTAGGGTGTTGGGTTTGGAGGGTATAGGGTTTTATGGAGTTGGGTTTGGAGGGTATAGGGTTTTAGGGTGTTGGGTTTTAGGGTGTTGGGTTTGGAGGGTATAGGGTTTTAAGGTGTCGGGTTTGGAGGGTATAGGGTTTTATGGAGTTGGGTTTAGAGGGTATAGGGTTTTAGG